AATGGACCATAAAATCAAAATGCCAATAAACTCTGAATGCCAGTGAAGATTCCTTACATCCTATGCAATCAGATATTCAGCCAAAATTAGTAATGTAAAAATAAACAAAATATCCAGGACATTGCTACCCAAATTTGTTTCTGTCTTTAATGGTAAAATGGCATATATCAAAATTGTTTTATAATTTATTACCAGTGTTTAATTTGCATATTAATCTTATGTATCTATAGGCTGTGGTGTCATATACAATTTTTCTTGGGTGAAAAAGGATTGGGAGTCAAGAATGTTTAGTAAAACCCTGCTCTAGAGATTTATGAACAACCAAATCAGCATTCATATGAGGGACATTTTCCCAATTTCTCCTACTCTTGCTCCTCCTCCTCTTTTTCTTCCCCTTCCTCCTCAACCTCTTTTCTTTTAGGTTCATGACCAAATTGAGAGGAAGGTACGGGGATTTTCCCCACATTTGTACATGATCTTTGCCATTGTCAACTGCTCTGAGAAAGTGGCTATGTTGGTTATAATTGCTGAACTTACACTTGTACATCACTGTACCCTAACCCATATATCACATTGAGGTATATTTTGTGAATCTGGAAACAGGTATAGTGTCATGTATCTAGCAATGTATTATCTTTCCAAACAATTTCTGCCACCAAAACCATCTCTAGTCTCCGTTTCCATCCTCCCTGCATCCCCTGATCTGTGCACTGTCTTCTGCCTTTGCTTTTTCTATAATGCCATATGTTCAGACTCAAACACTGCACATAGCCTTTTCTGTCTGCCTTCTCTCACTTAGTAATATCTGCCTACGACAAACAGTCATTTCTCTTGGCTGTTGAATACTATTTTGTTGCCTTATTGCTACAGCTCATTTCTCCATTCATGTCTTATAGGATATCTTGGTTTCTTCCAAGTTTGGGCCATTCTAAGTAAAGTGCTAATAAACATCATGTGCAGATTTTTGTGTGGACCTAATTTTTTAGCTCTTTCGAGGAAATACCCAAGAGTTCAGCTGCTATGTCATGTAAAAGGAGTATGTTTAATTTTGTGAGAGACTGCCAAACTGTCTTGTAAAGTGGTGGTCTTCATTCCTTTTATAAACCCTATGTCCTCCTCTCACCATCATTTCTCATAGAAGCTTGTCCCTGCTTAGTGAAATACAGCCATTTCTCTTTGGGTAAAACATTAACTTGAGGATATTATTTTGTGTTCATTTTTTTTTCTATGGAGGTCTCCTCTCCTGGGTGATGAGCTTTTGAGGCCAATACTCAGACACTAGTTACCTTTTTTATCGCCAGCCCCCAGGGAAATGAGTGGTTCACCCCATTGTGGTTAATCAGTTAGTGATTATAAATTAAATTAAACTTATTAATTAATCAGTGGGGGTTTGATAGCATTACTGTAAAAAGAAAGAGAAAAAAGCCAGCTCTACGTAAACTAATCACCCCATCACAACTGGTCTCTGTACATTCACAAAATTTGACCATGAGCAAATTGATGCTGATACATGGGAATGGAGTGCTACCTGTGAATGGGCTGTCAGCTTTTATCAATCCCACCTCGGTAGAAACGCACATGTTCATGAACACGTGTCTGGGAATATGCTGACGATTCTATTGATTCCCTCAATAACGGGGCTTCCACCTGAAATCTGGTTTTATATTCCATGTAGATTAAAGAGGCTTAATGAAAGTTTAAAATTATCTGAGCATTCATTCTCCTTTTGACCAATTTGGTACAGAGAGCTGGTGTTTTCTCCAAGCTGGTGTGTGTGTGTGTGTGTGTGTGTGTGTGTGTGTGTGTGTGTGTGTGTTTGTGCTTGTGCACATGCACACATACTGTGGTATGTGTGGGCTGTGTGCATTTCAGTCTAATATAAAAGGAAACCAAACATCTGACAGATGCTCCCCAAATCAGTGCTGCAACATTTGCACACTGGGGAGGAACAGATACTGATTTTTTTCAATTGTTCTACACACAATGATTTCAATTCAGCTTAGTTTGAGCTTTTAGATTCCCATCCCCTTGGCAGTTGAAAGGCACTCCATAGTCACATGACATGATAATAAGCATAATGTGTCAAAGCAGAGCCTTGTTCTGTAGCTCTTTGCAGCCTGTAGATTATGCTGACACTCCACTGAAGTGTGCAGGTCCGGCAGTGAGTGGGGACAGTGAGAAAACCCTTTGAAGAGATAGAAGGTTTGATCAAAGCTGGGTAGGTGATCTCAAGTGGATGTGTTCTGGATTCACAGAGACACAGACAACATAAAAGGAAACCCCCTGCCCCGGGGCATGCCACATGTGCCTTGAGAGATGCACAGGTGTTTAATAATCTATTCTTTAAAGTCCCCAGAGAAAGGAAATTCTATTATCAACGTTAATCAATTACAGTTCTTAATAACTTTCCTAATATACTCTCTTACACAGCAGCATTTTTCACACTGCAATCTCTCTGTAGAGTTTTTTTTTTTTTCACGGTCAGATTAAAGAGTCCATTAATTATCCTTTTACAACAAACATATGAAGGCTTTCCAAGCTATCAGTAGGAATTGTCTTGGCTCTCTTTTCATTTCCAGTTTACTTAATGTCCTGGTAATTGCTACAACCCCTGCCAAGCTCCCCAACCTACAAATATTAACTTTTGGGGCACCTCATTTGTGATATTCCAAAAGCAAAAGTAGTGAGATGATGCCTGGTCTGAGGATGTTATGTAGGGCAGATGTTTTCCATTTGGATTTACATTAAGAACCCAAAACCTATTTAAATGTCTATCAGGTGATGGGCAAAGTGCTGACTTGGATGGTGCGTGAGTTACCTTTGCTTTAACTAATTCTCCTTTGTATGCTCAGTCCCCAGAGGTGCTAAGGGGGTGGTGGTGGGGTGCAGCTCTGAGCAGGGACCAAAGTGCCGATAAGGCAACATCAAAGCCTTTGCTATGTGGCTGCGCACCAGAGATGGCTTCACAGGATGTATTCTCAGCTATCATGGAATTATGTAAGGTTAGGCTGAACATACAGGAATTCCATCTCAATACATCTACTTACTCAGGCTAGGTGACCCCTCATTACCTAGGGGGGAGGCCAGCTCTTCAACCTACTAATAATGAGATATTGAGAAAGCTCCTTAATTCTTTGTTGAGCTTCAGTTTCCTTACTCATAAAAGGGAATATTAATATATATCAATATACTTTTTACAATAATTAAATGAGACCGTGTAGGCAACATAGTTAGCATATGGCAACTGTTATCTTGTATGCTTGTCTATTTTCTACTTAAAATTTCCCAAGAATGGAGTCATTGAGCATCTTTCCTTATTTTCTAAGTTTTTTTTATCAGTCCAGTGACCAAGATTCCTTCCTGAATCTGAAATTGGAACAGTTCTATGGGAGCAATTGTTGCTGACTTTTTCCATTTATTTGAGGAATGTCGAAAACTTATTCCTGAGGTTTTTTTAAAATTGTAAATAACACTCAGTATAAATAAAAATTAGCAGCAACTGTAATAGGCCCCCAGACCTTAGCACAACTGACTCCATGGTTAAAGTACTATCCAGGCTGTAAAACTCAGCATGGAGCAATCACCTCCTGCCAAAAATAAAACAAAGGCCTAACCCATCTAAGTCCATAGTTCTAGGAAAGTCTTTAAATGTATTAACCGTGCCTTTTGGCTTCTGCAGTTCTGTATCTGGCTAACTGTTCTTATTAACTGAAGTATATCAATCTAGAACATGATTTTTAATTTTTAAAATTTATTTAAAAGTTTTGTTTCATTTTATATACCAACCACAGTTCTCTTTTCCTCTCCTCCTCTCACTCCTGCCACCTTCTCTCCACCCAACCCCCCATCATCTCCTCAGTAAGGGTAAGGCCTCCCATGGGGAGTCAACAAAGTCTGGCATATCAAGTTGAGGCAGGTTGGGCAAGGTATCCCTCTCTAGGGAATGGACTCCAAACAGTCAGTTCATGCAGTAGAGATAAATCCTGGTCCCACTGACAGTGGCACCACAGACTGCCCAAGTAACAGAAGTGTAACACACATTTAGAGGGCCTAATTTGGTTCCCCAGGTATCAGTCCAGATTCACTGAGCTCCTTCTAGCTCAGGTCAGCTGTCTTTGTGAGTTTCCCCATAAAGATCCTGACTGCTTTGCTCATATGACCCCCCCCCACCTTCAACTGGACCCCTGAGCTCGGCCCAGTGCTTGGCTGTGGATCTCTGCATCTGCTTCCATTACTTACCATGAAGGTCTAGAACATGATTTTTGTTCTTAAAAAGCTCTTCCTGGGGAAGGCTTGGGCTATACTGGGACCCTGAATACCCAGCATAGTAGACAGCTGACTGATAGAGACTTTGTTTTGGCTTAAACCCATGTCTGAGCAGTCTTCTCTGGTGAATACCCCACAATAACTATGGCTCAGATGAATTGTGCTTGCTGAAGACTACTCCCTTCACTCATCCATCCTTCTCCCATGAAGCCATAGGACAGATGATGTAAGCCTCAGACGTGTTGAGGAAGGTACCTGGATTCTGTCAGTCTGGACTCTACTCTTTTGTGACGCCCAGAGACTCACTCAGTCTCCAATTCTGTAGAACAATAATAATCATGTTTTCCCAAATGGAACCAATCAACAGCTGATAAGAAAAATTAGATTAGACAAGAGCACCATTTTAGAAGCACATGCTACATCACCTACATGAAATCCTTTCTGGGATAAGTAATAATGACATTGGGTTACATGAGAAAGGTTGTTTTAATACGAATGAAAATTAAAGCAATGAGGAGCAGAGAAGGTCAAAAGTACCCCAGAGTTGGTTAGTTTAAGCCAGGTTAGATGAATTAATATTTAGCACACCATCACACCTCTACTTACAGGTTTAACAGGCTTTAACTCAACATGATCCTGGCAGTGGGAGTGCACGTCTAGTCCACCTATGAAATCAACTGAAATACAGCAGCCCAGGTTGGATCAGTGTGTTAAGGAAAATGCACATAACACTGAATTCTAAAGTAGACTATATGTGTATAAGACAAAGGGAAATATCATTTCCTACAAAGTGGAAGAAGGCAATGTTGAGCAGGAAGGGCTGCTAAAAATATTGTAGGGAAAATTTAAGAAACACATAAATAACCTGAACTTTTAGGGCCTGAAAAAAGAAAAACCAGTTGCTACTGATTTTGGTTAAAAAAAATGTGGTCATTTGAAATAGTATGAGGTTTGAAATAATATGTTTGTCTCGTCATATCTCAAAATATATGCTTTCTCTTTTGCTTGCCAAGATCCACTTTTTACCTTCCTTCTTAAGAATATTCATTGAATCAATGAAAACACTTTGGAGAAGTCACATAAGCTGTCTCCATGCCTCTATCTTCAAGCTATTCTTAAGAAAGAAGCATTTTTCTTTGGCAAAGATTCCACGTTCTGAACACCATGAGGCTCTGCCTGTGATCTCTAGAGGCGTGGTGAATTTTGTAATCATTTTTATAATTGCCTTCTGCCTTACTCTTTTTCTTCCAAATCTTTAATTTGTTTCATTTGTTCCCCTTTTCCACTGAAAATGTTACTTTAAAAGAGTGGTTCTCAACCTGTGAGTCACAACCCTTTTGTGAGTGGAATATCAGATATCCTGCATATCAGATATTTACATTATGATTCACAACAGTAGCAGAATTACAGTTATGAAGTAGCAACAAAGTAATCTTGTGGTTGGGGGTCCCCACAGCACAAGGAACTGTATTAAAGGGTCGAAGAATTAGGAAGGTGGAGAACCACTAAATTAAGGTTTGGTTGCATAATCGTAGTTTATTAATGGATACATAGGCACAAAAGACCACTGGACTCTCAGGGACATGAATGAGTATGTGTGCACACGCAGTAAGATCCACAGTATGCAAACAATATTACATTACAGTTAAAGACAGGCATTTCAGGAACTATGGTTGAGAAATGAATGAATTAGCCTTGAGTTTCTATTGAACTCTTCACTAACTGTAGTCATTCTGGCAACTGATGACTTATTCCACCATCTCACTTCCTCTGGGTAGCTGAAGCAAGCCCAGGACAAGCAAATTCTCACCAGCTCAACAAATTTATATGAGCCTGTGGGTGCCTAGTAACTAAATGGCAAGGAATATCTGTAAGAATCCCCTGGTTGACAAGAGGGCCAGAGACCATCTTTTTTTTTTTTTTTTTTCTGTCGGGGTTAACAGGACACCACCTTATAAAGAGGGAAGTGAGGAGAGGCAATATGCCTGAGACCCTGAAAACATTTCATCTCAGAGTTGCCTTCTTATCTTTGTATCTGTGGGTAGAATTATAGATAGAAGATATTATAACTGGATAACTTATAGGGTACTTTTGAAAAGAAAATACACAAAATTTATAAATAACTATAACAATGTATAAATAGTAAACAGTTTGATTTTATAACCACATTCAATATTGAAACATTAGAAGATATATATACATCAAAGTAAAATCAAATGAAGAGATCTGTATATTGATTTCGACATTACAATATCATATTAAAAGAATCAGTATTTTTCATATAAATTTATGGTTTTTAATCTGTTTCTTAATCACTTCTGTTGTTGGTATATCATTGGTATTTTAAGATAAACAAATATTCAACATAAATTATATGATTTTTATAAACCTATTTACTATCCTCTCTGAAGTTTCTTTGTAGGCTTAGTATATTTAAAATAAAAATGAAAAAAATCTTATTTTTATATTTATTTAATATGTATTCATGTATGTCTGAGTATATGCCCGCGTGCACACTATGTGCCTGCAGGAGCCACAAGAAGTAAAAAAAAATAGTGTCTAATTCCCTGGAACTGGAGTTACAGATGGTTGTGAGATGTTATGTGGGTGCTATGAACTGACCAGCGTCCTCCCTAAGAGTGACGAGTGCCCTTAACTGCTGAGCTGCCTCTCTAGTACCAACATTATATATTTAATTTATTTGTGTGTGAGTGGTGTTTGAATAGGTGTGATCACCATAGACTCATGTTTGAATGCTTGGCCCACAAGGAGTGGCACTATTAGGAGATGTGGCCTTATTGGAGGAAGTGTGTCACTGTGGGGGTGGGCTCTGAGGTCAAATATGTGCTTAAGCTACACCTAGTGTGGCACACAGCCTCTCTTTGCTGCCTGTGGATCAAGATGTAGAACTTTCAGCTCCTTTTCAAGTACCATATCTGCCTGCAGGCTGCCATTCTTCCTGCCATGATGATAATGGACTGAACCTCAGAAACTGTAAGCCAGCCCTAATGAAATGCTTTCCTTCATAAGAGTTGCCTCTTTACAGCAATAAATACTAAGACAGTGTGTATGTGTGTATGTGGCCATGGTGGCTGTGGTCATGGTGTCTCTTCCCAGCAACAGAAACACTAAGATGGTGTATGTATGTGTACATGTGCCTTGGTACATATGTGGAGGTTAGAGGATAACTTGCAGTAGTTGATTCTCTCCTTCCACCATGACCATTCTGGGGATGCAACACAGGCCTTTAGGCTAGCAGTAAGCTCCTTTACCTGCTCATACATCTCACTGGCCTAGGGTTAATAAATTTGAAATTAATACAGAAGCGAATCTGAAAGCCATAATGTTTTCTTACTGGGGAAATAGCCTTCTAATGGTCTGTGAAACGTCAAGCAAATTGGCTAAACAGAAGATATATGTAAGATACTTCAGTCCAAATATTTTTCTAGAACTATGGTTTGGTTATTATATCTTTCTCTTAGTATAATGAATGTTATTTTTTCCTTTGGCAAGAATTTTATAAGACAAAACTGTGAATTATATCTACTCTTGATGGGTTTTATCCTATATATAATGAAAAATTTTAAGCCTCTAATCAATTTATGTTCATTTTGGTGAAAAATGTAAACTTGGACAATTAAAACAGGAACTTTACCAGGAGTCATTTTAAGGCAAAAATATTTCAAAGGGAAAATATAAAAATGAAAACTTCAATCTTGTGTAACACTTGAGATTTTATTAATTTGATCTTTTTTGTTTGGTAAGGACAAAGTTCAGTGGTTTCTTCTTATAAACCTCTAATTACTGCAATTTACTAAAATCTCCAAAAGCTGATGTTTGGTGCCTTTTTTGTTAAATAATTTTTAAAAAAAATTTAACCAATTTTCCATGTAATACAACTAAAACAAATCACTTATAAATCTATTCACTACTATAATATGAGACAGATTCATTTGCAAGGTAGTTTTCCAAAGCCTGATTACTAAAGAGAAGAAAGAATAAAACATTTATTTTTGCCATGTTGAAGCTGTGTTTTCAATGTCCACCTCATCATAAAAATATAGTAGCATATTTGCTTTACACATGTGTATAAAATTTGAAAATTAGAGGTTTCTATTTTCATGAGTTAAGCAATTTTATTGCTATAAAGTTATAAAGTACCAGTGAACCTGGATTCTAAATATACTTTTCTACTTTACAATAGGTCTTAATTTAGTAAAGAATGCTGTTTCATGTTTTTATTCATTTGTTGTGCTCTATCAAAAGTATGAACTTCTATTATCTCCACAACAATAATGCATCTTTAACATTTTATTACTGAGCTACCACAGCATTTAGTACAATGCCAGCACTTATAACATTATTCCAAATAGTTTACTTTGATGCCATAAATTGAAATACCAAACAAACAAACAAACAAACCTACCCAAAAATCTGGTTTGCAAACAAGTCTCATTATTTTAACTCTCAGAAATTTCTCCATTAGTGGGTCAACACAGAAGTTTAAACTTCTTCATGTTCTCATTGGAGCAAGCAGTAAGTACTCCAATGTGCTGAAACACTGCTAGTGGGCCCTGTGACTTCTGGGGTTCTCCATCCTATCTGGTCCAGGAAGCAGTTGACTTTCTCTAGTCTCTCTATTTAAACATACGGATTTACAGTCAGTGACCAGCCTTATTCTTCCCTTTAAAGAAAACTTACAGCTATTCTTTACCCTTTAAGTTCTGAAGGCAGCATTATTATTAAGTTTCTTACAGATATAACCATGTGTTGAAAGGAGAATTCTATTTCTCATATATGCATCTCTCATGCCTCAATAAGACTATAAGAGAGCTTGAGAGAATGCTTCACTTATTCTTCCAAAAACTTCAGACACTATTATTAATATTTTATTCAAAAACTAAAAAGATCTAAGACAAAGTTTGTGCTAGCTGAGATGCCAGAGCAACAGTGAACAGGGGCTGTTCAAACAAACTAGGATATATGGTTATGCAGCTTACCTAGCTGGGGTACCATTTTAAAGTAATAGAAAACTTTCAAACCTCTGAAGAAGACATCATAAACCATAAACCACCTATAGCTAGACAAGACTACAAAGAAATCAAGCGAAAAAGGAGGGATCATTGAGTAGGAGGTAATGAAGAAGGTGAAAATACCAGGAATTCTTTATGGATGAGTTCCAGTAGTGTGGTCCATGGGTAGTAATAACTCACAGTTCACATGGCTTGTGATTCATTTTCCATTCAAAAGTACACAACACAATGGAGGGATTATTAAGGGGACTTAATAGAAGACTTGGAAATGATTTAGTGAAAAAGATTTCAGCTTTAGAAATTTGTGGAAAGGCTGTCATGTTCCACTGGTAAGAATGGAAGGAAAAGATGCACTTCAAATTTACTTAATGAAAGAGAATTTGCAGAATTAGCATCTGTAGCAATACTGAGATGAGTTTCTGTAAAACAGGTCTAGAGGAAGCATGACCAGGATTTCAAAGGTGTTAGAAAAGGAGGATCAGAAGGCTGAAATCATTTGAAATCTGTAGTCACAACAGCAAAACGTCACACAGGAACTGTAGGCTGTAGGATAAGAGTGAGTACGGCAGGAATGCAGGCATGGGGAGAAGGCAGCATCCAGCCAGTTTGCCAGGGAACTTCAGGGCAGTGAGGCTGAATTCTGG